CCTTTGAAGGCATAAAATGAAATATGTTGTATTCTATATTATAATATGTGGTAAAACTAGCATATTGGCGTATCTCAAAAACTGCAACTGTTAGCTTATTTCTCTTTATTTTCGGAATCAGCGTCCTCGAATTACTTAAAAACCATCATAACATCTTAGAAAAAAAATTTAGTGTCGCGCAGTGTAAACATTAGTAAAGGGTATTAAAACATTGTAGACGTGATTACAGGATAACGTCTGTCGGGTCATGTAGTATATATATGTATAATATCGAAATATATATAGAAAAATAATTAATATAGAAAAATATAGGTTAATATAGAAAAATTCTTTATTAAACGTTTCAGCACTTAATGTGTGTCATCATTCAGCAATCAAACCAGGATGAACACAATATATATATATATATATATATATATATATATATATATGTGTGTTTAATTTGAGTTTAATATTCGGGCGTAACATCAATAAAAATAGTATGAGAGTTTTTTTTAAAAGTTTATTTATTTAAAATCCATACGTTTCGGCTAGCATCTTAGCCATCATTCAGTGGTAATCAAATTAAAATTTTGTATCCTAATATAGCATATGAAACCATTATTAATCCATGGTATGAGTATATGCACATTGATAAGATATATATTTTTTAACACAAACATCACAATTAGTAAAACACACTAATAACCATGATAACTTAACAAGATGTCGAAACTATGTATTTACTCTTTGGGGTTTAGGATAGAAATTTTTTTTTATTTTATATGCTATATTAGGATACAAAATTTTAATTTGATTACCACTGAATGATGGCTAAGATGCTAGCCGAAACGTATGGATTTTAAATAAATAAACTTTTAAAAAAAACTCTCATACTATTTTTATTGATGTCACGCCCGAATATTAAACTCAAATTAAACATATATATCAACATCAAATTCAAGACTATTCAAATATATATATATATATATATATATATATATATATATGTGTGTGTGTGTGTGTGTGTGTGTGTATAATAAAAATAAAATTAAAAAAAATTGCTGCATAGTAGAATTATCGTTCAAAATATATATTGAACTTTAAATTATTTAGTAATAAAATTCTTTAAATTTTACTAACTCTTCGTAGTATAATCTCTCAGCGTGCGTTTTAATTTGTTGCAAGCACAATTTGTAACTCAAAAATTTATTTTACTTTTACATTGCCTTTTCTTAATTTTCACTTTTAAAAATTGCATTATAAAGAAATATAGTATCATTTTAATATATTTCAAAAGTATCAGAAGGAAAACATAACATTTATCACAGCTTAATATATAGTTTTATCAAAAATTCAACTAAAATATTTCATTACTTAAGTATTTGTCATTTTTAAATGACTTGTAGTTTATATTAATAACTATGAAGAAACCGTACACTTCAAAATAAATGCCATAATGTATTTCATATTATATAATTCTTGAAAGCGTGCGCCTAACATGCATGTTTTAAATCTTATAAAATGCGCGTTTAGAAAAGTTTTACCAAGCTAGCAGCGATATATCTTATAAATGAACTAGTGAAGCGCATGGCATCGTGCCTTAAGGCAAATTGCTGAAACTTCCTGTACCAAAAAATATTTTTTTTTATAAAGATTAACATTTTTGAAACAAATTTAATCTGAAAAAATTAGATTTTTGAGAAACTATAAATTTTTGACAAAAACTTACTTTTTTTTGAAAAAAAAAGACTTGTTGAAGAAAAATTTATTTTAAATATTTTGGAAATTCTGAACTTTTTTGCAAAGCAATCATACTGCTTTAACTGTATAGAGACAAAATATCGAAGCGCGTAAGCGCCGCGTCGCCGTCTAACGGATAAACACTGGTACGGAACCCATAAGAATGTAAACAAAATTTATACTTTCTGTTAAAATCTCTATAAAATATCTGATAATTTGATGTGCATAAGTCTAATGATCAATTTTGACCGCCAAGTGGCATTTTTTTTACTTTTTTTACTAGATCTCCGAAACCGCTAGACCTACCTTCATGAATATTTGATCAATTCTTCATCTTGTTAATGCAAATAAAATGTTTTTTGAATTATTCAAATCGGACGCTCCGTTCTCTTAAAAAATCTACCGAGCCGTTTTCTTGTAATTAACTGTTGAAAAAAAAAATTCAAGCCGATTATTATGGAACTTTTTTGGCGATATGTATCATGGTCTTATAGAACTTACTGAAATATTACGGCCTTACGAAAAGTAGGTTAATTTTAAAAATACAACAATGTTTGAAAAAATGTGTAGTTTTTTTGACGTTTGTTAAAATTAAAATTAGACATTTTTTGGTATAACGATAGAGTACTTGGTCTTGATGAACATACTAAACCATTAAAGTCCTACGGATACAATTCAATTTCAATTACGGTTTCAGTTATAAAATTTTTTGATTTGTGAAAATTTGCTATTAGAAAACACTCCGAGTGAACGTGTTCGTTCGTTTTCAATTATGTGTAATAAATTCACTCGAAATACTTTTAATCACTCATAACTTAAATTGTTTTTAATTGATTTAAGTCAATTATTTGCACATATCGGGAAGTTCAAGTAACTTGCCTCAAGGCAAAATACCATTACCAACTAGTTTAAAGCTTAATTTTATTGAAATATTAAAAATTTATTTAAGTAATTAACTTGTGTTCAATAATAGTTATTTAAATTGAGCTTACCTTACTATTAATTTCACGATAAACATCTAGTGCATAATTATCAAAGCATTATGTATGGTGTACCATAGATAAAAGAAGAGTATACTATGTACTATTAACTGGTGTAAATTTAACAAATTTTTGAATTGTACTATTAACAAATTTTTGAAAATGTACTATTAACAAATATAATATTAACAGATAGGTGGTGTACTATTAACAAATTTTTGAAAATTTTAAAACTAATTAAAAAAATGATTTTGTTTTAAAGTCTGTGAATACTCGATTAAGAAATGTGGGTATAAAATGCGATTAGCGTATCGCACAGTCGTTTGAATATTAGCGCCATGATCATCTGAAACTACACCAACGCGAAGTCATACGCAGAAGAGCCAGTCGCGCAATATTCCAGATAACTACAATATTTGCCATTTATTACTTTACTATCGCAGATAACGTTGCGATGCTATCCAATGATTTCAGGAAAATAGGATGAGTCATCGCGCAAAAATTAGAAGGTCTGCAATATTTGCAAACAACAAATATATATTCAAAATAATATTTATCTGCACTTTTAAAAAATTTTGATCTTTTATATTTGTTCCCATAATAAATATCCACGCAAACATATAATTATGTGAAATATAACTACGTCGTACTATTTTTAAATAAAAATAATTCTTTTTTCATTATTTCAATATCAAATTAACCTGTACGATATACTGTTTGAAAACCCTGTATGTTATACTGTTGGTATGTAATACAAGGATTACATGTTCTTAATATAAAATAAATACAACATATATATATTTCAATATATCTCTTTATTTACATTACATAATTTAAATATAAAGCAATACAAAATGTAGTACTATAAATAAAATATTCTCTGGTGTTATATTTTATATAATGATAAATTCTTTTTCTTCAAAACTCATTATCAATGGTCATAGTTGTTCATTACGATTAGTAAAGTTGTAATATAGTAAAATTCATAATTTTGAGACATACATTACACATTCCTCTATCACACAAGCTATCTTTATTATTATTCTTGGATTTTAAATAAAATATATTAATATAATTGTTAGAATGGCATACTTTCAATATTTTGCCCACATTATCATTATCATTCTAGATTCACAACTTAAACAATATATTATATGACTTGAGTTTCAATAATCAGAATAAACTTAAGTATAAAGTATTTGATTATAGTAGGTAATATAAAAATAAAATACTTGATTTGTATAAAATATACTTTATGCATTTGCAAATATGATTATATTTGCAAATAGATTATACATAATGCATATACATATACATAGCACAACATATACCTGAGCATAATAAGCATTTACAAATTCAGTAAGGCACTGAGCTCAATACGGAGCAAAAGAAAATACCTCTTGCAATTTTCAAATATTCTTTACAAAAAACTAACATCAAGCTGCATATACATATGTTCAAAAATGTATATGTACTTCTGTAAACTTCTATATGTATATGTATAAATGATTATGATAGATCACAGTTGCCGAACATATTCCTTAAAATATCTTTCCAATATATTACTTAGAATTAGTGTTATATTACAATGAGTTGAAACTGCATTTTACTAGTGGAATTCTCAATTTTTCATAATAGATTTTACACCTGATTTAATAAGCCTTCACTTTGGCTTTATTAACATGAAATTTAAGTAAGCAATATTTACAATAAAAAAAATTGAATACAGTTCCAACACAAAGATTACTTATACAATACGCAACAGTATTTTTTTAAATTAAGCTTAATTATTATCATTTATAAAACATAACAGTTGCTTATCAGGAAAAAATATATTAGTATTTCAATTATCAATACCTTTCTGTAATAACAATACAAATATATACTATCGTAAGGCTGGGCCTTACCTATATAAGTACACACAAACTTCGGCATGCACACCTGCAGATATATATATATATATATATATATATATATATATATATACATATATATATGTTTTATCAAATTGTTCAACACATAAACATCCGTTTTCTACCATTTCAAACATATTGAAATATGATTTGGAGTATGTAATCAATTGTTGTATATTTTCAAAATTCCTAGATATATTCTTTCAATATATGAAAAAAGTTAAAAACAGATGTTTCATTGTGCTCCAGTTTCGTACAATAATATAATTTTCAATCATCCAACAGCCAAACAAAAATCAGATATATACATGTTCATACATACATGCATGCATATGCATATATATATATATATATATATATATATATATACATATTTAATATAGAAATAGAAATTATGAATATAGGCATATGAATGTTTACATACATACACACACATACAAATATAGATAATATAATATAAGCAACTACTAATCACTAGCAGTTAGTGTTGAATATAAAATAATTGTGTAATATTTTTGTTAGTGTGATTGCAAAATGGGAATTTGACATCCACTATTAATGTGCTCCATTACTTGTTCCTTCAACTGACACACATGCTCCTTAAGACGCATCAGAACTGCACTCAAATCAGTGTTTTCAGATTTTAAAGTTTTTACTTTGTCTTCTAATCTTGAGATTCTCTCCAATTTTCTTCGACGACATTTGGAAGCTGCCAATCGGTTCCTCTGTCGCTTCCTTTCCAATTTAATCTTTTCCTGGCTTTCCATGTCAATAGGAGACATCGGTGGAGAAGAACTAATATTTGGCACGGTTTGAGGTTCATCTTTCACTACCACATTGGAATCTAACCCAATGGAGAATCCACTTCCAATCGGAAAAGAAAGTGATACTTTGGGAGCATGACTTTGATCGAGATTTGTGTATGTAACACCACCTGATGTGCTTGATGCAGACCGATCTGCTCCAACATGTAAGCCCTGTGAACTGTCACTATGATGCAACTCATTAAGAGCGTCTACAAAGCCTCTAGCATATAATTCTTGCTCCTCAGTGACATTGCTTTGAGGAAAATTGAAGGCCGAAGGTGTTGGCATTGTTGTTACTACGCCGTTTTGATGAGATATTATCAATCGCTCCAGCTCTGGCGAGCCTAATTTCAACATATGCAAATCTGGTGAAGATAACACAGGATTGTTAGCAAGTAGCGAATTGATTTTAGGTTTTTTAGCTTGCTGTATTGCACAATTCAAATCTAAGGTCATAGACAATTTCAATTGGTTTACGTTATTATCTTCACGATACGAATCTTCATAAAACGTAGCCTCCATTCTACGATCATCTATATTACGAACCATCAAATAGTTGTACAGAACTGCTGTGATATTTGTTGACAACACGAAACTTTCAAACAATATGTTTTCGTCAAAATATTTACACAAACTGAACGTTCAAATAATAATAATTTCACATGTACTCCAAAAACATCAACCTCCGAACTCCACCAGCACACAAAGACAATTTAGAAATGAAACATTTTCTGCAAGAGAACATTTGTATGATGATTCATTGAAGCTATTTTTAGACATTACGTCATTGTACTAAGCTGTGATTGGTGGACGATGATATCATTTTATGTTGTTAAAAGCATTCAGCGTTGCCATTGGTTGTTGAATAAAGAGCGACTCCATCGTAATATAATACACGGCTGTCACAATTCTACACGTTGAAATAGCCAACATCACACCGAATATTTTATGCGACGGCAACTTTTGACATAAAGTTAACCCTACATTTGGTACGTTTGGTACTAGTATAGTACATTGGATAAATAAACATATGGTTTAGTATGAAATATGAATAAACGATTTATTATCAGTAATTTATTAAGCAAAATAAATAACTAACTTAGTGTGGTGCATAATATCGTGCCTTAAGGCAAATTGCTGGAACTTTCCGTACCGTAATTAAAAATCTTGGTACGGAGCCCAAAAAAATTTACACAAAATGTGTACACATTATTAAAATCTCTATAAAATATCTGATATGTATATATGTCCAATAAACATTTTTGAGCGCCAAATGACTTTTTTTTAACTTATTTTTATTGAAAATCCATAACCGCTGGACCTGCCTTCCCAAAAATTTAATCAGTTGTTCATCTTGTCAATACAAGTAAAATGTTTTTTTTTATCGATTTTTGAATTATTAAAATCGAACGCTCCATTCTCTTAAAAACTTAGTTACTGTTTTTGGCACTTTTTGCCCCATATCTTCGGAACGGCTGGACCTACCTTCGCCAAAAACTAATTAGCACGTCTCCTTATCAATACGAATCGAATTATTCAAATCGGCTGAGCGGTGTTTCCGAAATCGTCGACAAAAATATGTATTCGCGCGCGCACACACACACACATACATCCATTTTTTCTAACTGTGTAATGTAAAGATATATAAACATTTTCATTTTCAATTTTTTTGCGATTACTATAACTTACCCTACCCTACGGGAAGTTAACAAAAATATGTTGCATTGTGCCTAAAGACAAATTGCTGGATTTTATCGATTTTTGTTATGTTTATATTATAATGTTATTAACAATTAAACAATAAACTAAAATTCTTAATTAATAATTAGCAATCGCATCAATCAAATTTTTGAGCATATAGAAGTACATTTAATAAAATTAAAATCTTTATTTATCAATATCTTTTACCATAAAAATGCAATCAAATCAAAACCTTAGGACAATGTGAATTTTAAATAAAATTTAATAAGTAAGGTTTCATAAATAGAATAGATAACAACTTGCACAAACGAAATTTCTAAATTCACAACGATTTACATTATAAACTAAAATCAATAAATCAATATCTCAAGATTTTTTATTTCTGTTCAGTTTTAAACTTTTAGATTTGAGAAAATTTTGAATGTTCTTTGAAAATATCAGAAACTTTGAGCAGCATATAAAGTCATCTTTAAAATTTCATATCAGTTATTTTTATTTCAAAAATTACTTGAAATTTTTTGGATAATACTGATTTTTTTAAATTGACTATATAATATAAAATAACGAATTTCACCTTCACCCAACAAAAATTACTTAAATATATTATATAATACTCATTGTATAAATAATTATTATTGCCGATATTATTATTATTTATCACATTTTAAAACTAATGATAAATTCTTTGATTGATACATAATACTGGGAAGGGCACTTAAAATTTTTGGGCTCATTGCATACTATAAATATAAATTCATTTAAATCATTCAAACACTATTATACATTTCTTGTCAAAAATATATCAAACAATATAAGTAACCTATACGATTTGTAATTTAAAATCATCTCACGAATTACTTTCTTTCAGTTGATCACGTTTTTCGATACCCTCGTTGCCATCGTCATCATTCGATGTATGTAAATCCCAGTAGTGCTCACCATAACTACCATCCTTGTGGCCCCATCGAACCTAATCATCGGATAAGTTTTAAAGTAATATTTAAGATTGAATATTCACTACAATTTAATATAGCCATAAGCTATCGTGCACAAAACTAAAGTAGAATCTTTGATACTCACTTTACCCTGATGTCTTTGAGCGTTGATATCGCGTTTTTCAAACCTCTGTTCCCAAGAAGACGGACTTTCCATTATATGTCCAAACTCAAAAATTAGAGGTGCAACTTCTCCTGAAAATATGTCTCTGAAAGAATTAAACATCACTCTGCATCAATAAAAACAGATTAAAAATATTTCTTTAAAAAAAACGGAGAAATGAATAAATATAAGGAACACCCATATAAAATTGAACAAACAAAAACTTCAGCTTTTTATAATTAACTTCCCGTAGGGTAATTTATAGTAATCGCAAAAAAACGAAAATGAAAATTTTTATATATCTTTACGTTTCAAAGGTTTTTGAACATTTTGGCATACCTTAGAAAAAAAAGGATGTATGTGTGTGTGCGTGAGTGTGTGTGTATGTGTATGTGTGTGCGGATACAAATTTTCGTCGACGATTTCGGGAACACGGTTTAACGGATTTCAATTATTCAAAAAATATTCGATTGCTGTTGATAAGAAGACGTGCTGATTAGATTTTATCATGGGCAGGTCTAGCCGTTCCGAAGATACGGGGCAAAAAGTGCGAATAACGGTAACTCAGTTTTTAAGAGAACGGAGCGTCCGATTTTAATAATTCAAAAATCGATAAAAAAAAACATTTTACTTGTATTGACAAGATGAACAACTGATTAAATTTTTGGGAAGGCAAGTCCAGCGATTATGTATTCTCAATAAAAATAAGTTAAAAAAAAATGCTATTTGGCACTCAAAAATGTTTATTGGACATATGTACATCAAATTATCAGATATTTTATAGAGATTTTAATAATGTGTACACATGTTTTCGTACACATTGGTTTCGTACCGAGATTTTAAATTACGGTACGGGAAGTTCCAGCAATTTGCTCTAAGACACGATGCCATGCACCCCACTAGTTATTCTATGAATTCAATTAAAAGTTTGAACTCACTGAAAATATTTGGATTGTGCCAGCGGTATTCCCATTTCTCCATCATCTACCCTAGATCGAGCATTGCGAGTGAGGTCCATCGTAGACAAGAATTCATTGTTTGATAACTTATCATCTTGCCCAAGAAGTAACGAGCTTTCGTCTTTTTTCTGAATTTGTACGGTCGCCGCACTACAGAGTACCTATAATAATAATTTGTAATAGATGACTTGCGATCATTTATGATATGTAAAATATCATCATAATTAATTAAAATCGAACGCAATAAATATCGTCGATTTTTGCATAGACAATCGTAGCTATTGCTACAGGTGATTATAAGACATATTTAAGCTGTAAAAACGTCGATAGAAGAAACGACGAGGAAATCAATAAAAATTTGTTTATAATGATATGAGGTTGAAAGAAGATTTTAACCAAAGATTATTATTATATTGTCTAGGATTTTAACCCGGCAAGCATTTTGAAAATGAAAAGAAAAGGCGTCAAGAGTTTCTTAAGAATAGTAATTATACTACATGCATGTTCATTTTTAACTATGGTTAACTATGTTAACTTTTATTTATGGTTTATATCATCACAGATACTTAAGAAAGATTCCTCAGCTAAACGTCTTTCGAATAAATTTTCTTCAAAATGTAGTACAGTTGGATTAAAATATCTATGTTGTGTTTTAAAGTATTGTTTTTGTGTTGTCGTGATCTTTTTATTAAATTCTGGCTTGTTTCTCCGATGTAAATAAAATTGCAATCTAGGCGGTTAATTTTATAGACGAACTTACCATGCTGTGCGCAAAAAATGTGCAAAATACCCATAATTAGTTTCACACGTGTTACAATCTTAGTAAAAATATTTAAAAAAAAATACTTTCAACATTATGTATCCAACTAGTTTACAGGTAATGCATATATTGTACACTTAGTTTTTAGTTACAGTTTAGTTAACATCATTGTGAAATATAGTTTATAGTTACAGTTTTAATATTTAAATATTAATTATATCTCATAGTATAGTGAGTACCGTATTCTCATATCATGTAGCATTGATTTTTCTGTTTTTAACGTTAAGATTAACAAATTGTAAGTACTTTTTTACTCTCTCCAATTTTTCAATCTCATTTGTTTTAGTTTTAGAATTTTATTTTAGTTAACATTAAATGAAGGCTGGAATAGCCGAAGCGTATGGGTGCAAAATAAATAAAAGAAATTTGTGTTTTATTGATATAGACGTTTCAAATATTAAAATACTTTGGGTAGATTTAGGTTGTAGGAATTGATTGGAATGGATAAACATGATACTATTGAAAAATAACTAATATTTTATATGTGCACTTAATATATAACCCAAGCAAACTACATATGTATAAAATAATTTGTGTATGATATTTATATAAATAAGCACAAAAAATTCTTACTAAGCACAGTAGTTTCTTGTACATTTTAATGCAGCGATTTGAAAAGCACAAGTTTGAACCTGCCGTTGCCAGTATTTATATGGCTGCGACAGACTGGAGACAATAGAAGAAAGGACCATGCCGACCACGCTCGGTGATCCGTTAACAACTTTCTGCTATTTATTTTGAATCGCGTGTATTACCTTATTTTACAATTGATATGAATACGTGAGGCACGTTTACATTGTCTTCTTATTTGTTCATTTGTTATGATCAAGAAATCACGATGTAAATGATTCACATTATTTTGAATCATATTTATATTTATTTATCATATAGAAATGTGATTTGTGTTATAAAATATATCTATTATATTGAAATATTTTGACGTAAGTTATCATTATATATATATATATATATATATATATATATATATATATACAGTGGCATATACATATATATATATATATATAATCTTATCCTTCATATTTAGTTTAGTCATTAAAAATAGATAAGAGTTCTTACAAAACAATTTTAACAGTTCTTCCTATCTTAACAAATCTTTTTCAAAATCTAATTCTTTCTCTTTAGGTAAATATAAAGGTGTTATTTGTTTACCTTTCTTAAGCAATTTTTCTTTTTTAAAAAAAGTTGTTTGCCGCTGAAGATTTTCTTTTAGTTTTCAGTTTGGACAACACGTTAGTTACCTTTTTTATTCTCTTAAATCAAAAACTCCCGCAGATAGGGTTACTGATTCGGTTTACAGATTAGACTGCAATGATTGCAATAGTTGTTGCATTGGGGAAAGTTCCCAATATATACATAAGAGGGTTAATCAGCATATATATAATTCTAGAAACCCTATTCAATTCAAAACTATGCTTTCAGAACATATGATTAACTTGAACCATACTTTTAACATGTCAAATCCTACAATCCTATACATTGAAAATAATTGTGACCTTAGAAAGAATTTTCTCTTTTTTATATTTATATTTATTATCAATTTTTGTATATATGCAATATGTTTTTTAGATTACTGAATTATGACACGCATCAAGTGTCGAAATTTTTAATGGAATAAATAATTTTTTTATTTAATCTTTTTTTAATTCGACGATTGGGCTGCATATATATATATATATATATATATATATATATATATATATTGTTTCAATTTTCTTCACTGAGCTATGTGAATAGTAATAAAACCGCGCAAAATCAAGAGATGCCATAAATCATTTTATTTTTGAAATGAAACATATTTAATGAAAAATATAGATAATAAAAATGTTAAAAACACTGCGAATTAAGAAGTTTATTGAATATATTAAAATGATAATTTATATTTTTATTATAATTATTAATATTTACATTATAATTTATTAAATTCATATACGATCCTTGATTATTTTGAACGAGATATAATTCTTTCATAAACTCCAACCAGTATTTTAAAGAAAAGTTATATTGAAAATTCAAATATAACTTATAAAATCAAATCAAATATAATTTATTTCAAAACTATGAAATAAACCTAGCTTATCGAACGGTGTGAAAGTAAATTATTGTATCGTTTTTCATTCGCTTTATATATCGACTTTCGTTCGATGCTTTTTATTCCAATTGATTATGAACTAATATCTTCACTTATTTTTGTCTTAACATATTTGATAAAAATAATTGAATTTTTAGAAATTTAATTCTAAAATTGAGAAGTGCAGTATACATGAACTGTTTTTCAACCGTTTTTTTGCCGAAACTTACAAATTCAAATTTTATTTTTTATTTAAATAAAAATTATTTCATATTAGCTTAGTATCAAAGATTCACAGATTTTATTTAAAAAAAATATATAGCTCGGGTAATTTCGATTAAAACTTACATTCTTCATTTTCTTGAAAAACGGTTGTAAACCGTTCAATTTACGTAAGAACTTCTGATACTTTATTTATAAAAGAACGAATATAAATTAATTACTTAGCATTTCAACAACCAAAAAGCACAACTGAACTGATCATAAAGGATTTTAAGTACGATACTGTAATTTAGTTCATATTTAATAACAAAAAAAAGTGAATAAAATGTAAATTTATTCTAAGTTTGCTTCACTGTTTTGCATCTGTATCATTAAAAATATAACATTTTATATTTTTTAGGTAAATTAGGTAAAAATTCACTTCAATCATTTGATCATCATCAAGGTTGATTTAAGCTAGAATACAAAAGAAAATAATTATTTTTGATTATCTGTATGGCTCTGCACTATATGATGTTTGAAAGATAAGATTATACTTACTAAAAGCACTAATTAGTTCTGAAAGAAGCACCACGTAAGGGCCCCAAACGAGTTTACGCAGAAAAATTTCATATACGGAAAAATGTATCTTCGAATCGGAACTAAATCGTAACATTTTTAATGCAGTTGGTTACTTGTGATATAAGGTGGCACTTACGACAATATCTAGCAAAAACGGGTAATGGTCGACTCAACCCTTTACAATCGGATGCCACCGCTCCGGCGGCATAATACATGTTAATTTCACAATTCGTGAGTGGGAAGAGACCACTAAATTCTGCTATATATAGAGAGATGTGTCATTTAAATTTGAATGTAATTAGTTTCAGATTAAATTGGCATATGGTTTGACTACCAGAATTCCTCTTAGCTTATATATTTTTTTAATACAAATAGTTATATGAGGCATGCTTTGGACACACTCATAATAAATTAGATTTTTTCATACTAAAATTTAAAATCCTCTAGAAATAAGTATATGACAAAAGAACATTTGTTGGCATGTATGTATATCTATATGAATATAAATCGGATTATCATATCAAAAATTTAAAAAATAAAGTTTACGAATTATAAATAAAATGGATATAAATTAGATCGAATTTACTTTTCATTTCTTCTTCGAAATACTTTTGTTCAGTTCTGTATATTTACATATCAAATTATTTAATTTCAGTATTTTATGCTTTTTTAGATTTTTGTATCGAGTCGAGGAGAGTTGTTATCCTACATAAATACTTATTCACAAGACTGTATTACTTAAAATTAATATTACGTATTACGTAAATTTAAATTTCACATTCATGCTTTTTAAAACATAGAATTTAAAATTTTGATCACAGTAGTTTCAACCATCAGAAGTAAGAGTAAAGTTATAAACATATTTTGAAAAATTATGATATTTTATCTATCACTATTATGAAAACTTACAATTAGTGAAACTTCTAACAAGAAATAAATTCAACTTATGTCCTTAAATTATTAAAAAATCAAATGCAGCAAAAGTAGCAATCTCGACATACATTTTTCTTTAGGGCATATTTTTACCTTCACAAGTGAGGTGCCAATTAAACAAGAAATAACTTTTTAATAATGGATAATCGATTGAAAAACAAGTTCATAGCTGAAAAAAAAGTAAATTTTTTTGAAAATCAAATGTTGAGAACTAAACATATAATGTAACAATTGTATTCATCAACCAGGTAACAATCTGCTGATATTTTTGATTATTGTGTTTGAAATTAAAATCCACATTGGAGTAGATATAATGCCTGCTTCACCAATAGGAAAACTTAATATTTTTTCTAATGGTGAAAAGCAAAATCTTTCTGGAAAGGTAATTACAGGAGTGTATCTATAATATAATGTAACACATAACATTAATAATCCTATTATCACTTTTGATATAACACGTGCACTATATTTTATACTCAAAAATTGAGATGTATTAGAATTGACTTCTTTTTGCAATTGCGTTTCTAATTTATGTATTTTTCTCTGTGTTCTAGCGTGCATTGCAAAATTATCTGTAATAGATATTTTGTCAAGTTCTTTTTTAAGCTGCACTAATTCTTTGGATGTATTCATATTTTCCTGTGACATCTTACTTGTAAGAGATATGATCTATAGATAAATAAATAAATTATTAATTTATTTACTTAAATTATTAACGGTATATTAGTTATTACCTTATCTATAATAATTGGCATAATTATATATAGCGCACTGCATCCACTTATAATCAGCAATTCATACATGTTTATTGATGAAATATGAAAATAAATATTATTTTAACAACAAACCGCGAGCAAGCGTGAACAACTTAAAATTAAATAACATGCATTGTAAATTTTGACATATCGTGTTCTGTTTTCGGTAAAATATCCTGACTTCGACCCAATGTCGGGTCGGGCGATCGGGGGTGATCGGGTGTATACGAGCACCGTTCGATGGCGCTCACGCTCACCTTAAGCTCAACTGAAACTTGATCAAAATCGAACTGGCTTTCAGTTTAACATCCGAATCCAAATTAAACCTGACCGATTTATATTTATATTAATTATTATTATTAACTAGTTGGTATTGGTATTTTGCCTTGAGGCAAGTTGTGTGGACTTCCCGATATGTGTAAATAATGGACTTAATTAATAAAATATAAATTAATTTATGATTGATTGAAAGTATTCCGAGTGAATTTATTACATCTAATTGAAAACGAACGAACACTCTATCGTTATACCAAGTAAATAGTCTAATTTTAATTTTAACACACGTCAAAAAAAACTATTAATTTTTTCAAACTTTAATGAATTTCTAAAATAAACTACTTGACGTAAGGCCGTAATATTTTAGTTCTATAAGACCATGATATTCATCGCCAAAAAAAGTTTCATAAAAATCGGCTTAATTGTTTTTTTCAATAGTTAATTACAAGAAAACGGCTCGGTAGATTTTCACTTAAAACTAATCAGTATCATTCCCAAACTAATATCTTTCGAACAGTTTTTGAATTTTCAAAATCGATTTAGAATTGCGTCGTCGTCGTTGATAAACGCTAGTTATCATCGATATACATCGAATGGCTTTCAAATGTTTGAAATCGGTCCAGCCGTTTTTGAGGAAACGTCGGTTTACGGCAAAAAATCTGTTCACATACACACACACATACTTTTTCCAAATTTGGCCTCATTCGATTCAGAATGGCTTGAAACGTCGAGAAATAATAAAATTAAAAGTACACAAAATAAAAAAAGTTGTCTGTATTGGATGTGCGGCATATGTTTTCCAATGTAGTTTTTGAACACGAATCTAAAATATAAATTGAGAGTCAAATGGAGAGATGGCAAAAAATTGATAGAAAAAGGTAAAAAAAAAAAAATTGACAAAATCTTCGATCTAGTAATTCTTATTATATATATTATAAATATATAATTATAAATAATTATGCATTATTAAGATAATTTAATAAGTAACAAAAATTTGAATGAAAATATAATACAAAATTCATCGACTGTCATCAAAAATCATGAGAACTGAGGTTTGTTGCGATTAATAAGTTAAATCTACAAAGAAATTGAATTATCAAATAGTTCTAAAAAATACTATTTCTATTACAAAATAAACAAAGAGCAAGGCCTTCTATTCATGTTTTTCCAACACTAAAAATGCCATAAAAAACAAGATATATTTAACAGAAATTGATAATGTTAAGTAATTTCTATTTAATATTATTCACACTATTAAAAAATAGTTAGTAACATAATTCTTAACTGAAGCTTCGAGTAAATTTATTACTAATGTATCAAGTAATACCTTTCTAAAGAATGTAAAAATTAAATCATCATCTTGTTAGGTCAACAATTACTAAGAAACGGCGAGGTCGATTTTCATATAACACTGCAATAAAGAAAAACTGCAAAAAATCATTTTTTTAAATAGTCCAGTATAATGCTTTTAACAGTTAATTGCCAAGAAATGTCCTGGCAAAAAATATAACCAGTATGATTTCTCACTGATATCTTTTGAAGAGTTTTTGAATTTCAACAATATATGGTAATATTGGTAATTGATCAATAAAGATTTTCTCATCTTTCTTAGATTTCAAAATAAACTGTAGGTTTTTATTGAATGGATTGAATTTTTCTAAGAAAATGATTATTACAAGATTATTAGTTATTTTTACCAATAATGGAAAATCTGGTAAACCTTAATATATACCAGGCATTTGGAAATAGGATTTACCATTTAATTCGAAGCAGATAACATGATAAATTCAATTGAATCTGGACTACTGTGTTATGCGGGGGTTACCTGTATATATATATATATATATATATATATATATATATATATATATATATATATATATATATATTGGCATGTAAATGCTCAGATGTATAAGCTAAAAATTTGTTTTTCTGAATAGGCATCAACAAGCATAGGAAAACATAGGCAGTTAAGAGTCAAATGATAAAATAATTATATAAGACGAGTTAAATCACTTTTTCATTTATTCAGTCATGTTCCTTATTAAATAATTGTAGAAGTCTATAACAACCTAAACCAGCAAAACCTGAAAAAAACAAAGTTAATCGAGTAAATTACACGGACAAACAAATAAGATTTGAAATATAATATTAATGAGAAAATATTCACCTGCGGCCACTGCATATATAGGTAAGCGATACTTGGCAACTTTATCTGCTTGAATTTTTAGATAAATACTAATTCCTATTAGGCCGGCCCCACTTACAATTTTGCACTCTTTGCAATCGTGTCTATGTGCCACTACAGAATTTGACATGATCAATCAATGATATAATATTCATTCCATTAATTTCTTAACTCTGACTCCGATTTACGTATTGTTGAACGTATTTACAGGATATTCACTAACCTCTAACATAAGTCACATATTCTTATCGCAAAAATAAATGACAGCCAAAACACTTGACAGTTTCATACACGATGGCGCACGATGGCTGCCGATTGAAGTCGCACGAAGCGATGAAACTTAATATTTTATTTTAGCTTAATATTTTATAATATTATTTAATTCTAGCAATGTTGTATAATAATTAAAAACCACTTCTAATAGTGACCAGGTTCAATTACAAACTCAAATAATAACAAACGTCTTCAACGCCAATGACAAACCTATTGAATATTATAAATACTCAAATAAATACTTGATCTATAGACAATGTTACAATATTTATAATAATCTATTTGAAAACATTTAATATTCCTCAAACATTTCGTTACATTACGAGAAGTTCCATTTGCCTTAAAGCACAATGTCATATCTTAATTTAAAACTTTATTAAATTTCAAAAACTCACCTTCAAACTTGAAGAGAATGATCACCTATAGTTAGCTATTCTGTTTATTTGTTTTTAAGTTTGCAAGTAGTGGAACAATTGATTATAATAGAACAAAAAATATGTATCTTTAGGCAAATCGCTTAAAATTTCAGTTTTATTTTAAAGTAGTAATTAAAAAAAAATTGAAATTTGCCAAAATAATTTTAACAACAGATGCAGAATAGGATAGTCGTCATTTTTATATAAGTTATGTACTAATTATTATTTAAGTATGTTCATTTATATTTTAATTAAATTTTTTTTTTTGCTTTGATTGTTTTTGATTTTTTAACATGATTTTTAAAAGTATCTTGTTCATCTAATGTGATTTTAGTGTTTTTCTAATGATTTATGTGTTTTATCACCTATTTATATTTTATCATCAATTTATATTTTTTTCTATTATCTGAATATAGATATTTACTCAAACATCTTGTTTTTAACTACATATCTTTTAGCACCTGAAAAAAATTACACACACACACACGTGTGATATGTATATATATATATATATATATATATATATATATATCATCTTTGTGTTACGGCTTGACCGAATTTTATGAAATTACGCATTCAAGTTTAAAAAAACAAAATCGACTAACATCTGTTTTTCATACCCTAACATGGGTTATCAACCCTAACATCTTTGAATCAGTTTGTATTTTATTTTTATTTTTTGTAATGTAAAATATAATATAACCTCTGTGCATTATGCTTAATAACGGATTAACTGTGGGCTGTGGACACCGATTCATTACACAAAAAATATCGATATAATGCATATATACCGAAGCCGGTCTCCTACTCCTCCATACAAAAGCCTTTTTTTTCTTTCACTAAAATACCACATTGTTACACACTATCAGTTTAGCTACTTTTTATATTAGGAATACACTAGAAAAAAAATGTATGACAAATCAACGTTTGCCGGGTCAACTAGTATATATATAGCCAAATTATTTTGCATTAAAAATATGTTTTAAAAAATAACCTTATATTTTATAGGTTATATAAAATCTTTTATATAAATTTATTACATCTATTACCACGTTTGCATAATAACAAAAATGAATTTACTTATAAAATATTTGTATAACATAGGTAATAAATAATTAGAATTTTCTCAAAACATTTGTAACTGTTCAATTAAAATTAAGCAGATTTTGAATACATATGTATACATATCCATACATGCATTCATATGCATATATATACATAATAATATACATATATAAGTAACATATATTAAAAAAATTTAAATGCGAAATTTGTCAAGTATTTTAATTTTGCACGTTTGTCTGCCTATATTTGTATTCCACTAACTAAATTAAAACAATTAAAAGTACATATTTATTAAAATCTTAATTTAACACAGAAATGCTCGACTATGGCCAGATGTAAGAAATATTCTGAACATAAATAATATTGGTAAATTTAAAACAATTTTATCATTAAATTTGCACTCAACAGTGTTGAAACATGGTAAAATCAATAAGTGCCAAGAACAATTCTGTCATGATCCTGACAGATTAAGGTGGATTATCTTGAATATCATTATATACAAATATATAAATATATAAATATCTAAACATATAACTATATGCACATATGTTTATATATATATATATATATATATATATATATATATATATATTATTAATTCATGTATAAATATATGTTACTAGATATCAAATTTGCGGTAAAGTTTTTACGATTTCTAATAACGGCTTTTTGTTTAGATAGATTCAATTTTTAGGAAAACAAATTTATGAATTTTAACAAAATTACATAATTAGGTTCAAAATTGAGTTTAACTATTGCTGTATGGATTTATTTAATTTTGCAATCTTCATGTCCAAATATGATTTAAATTTTTAGAAAAAAAACTTTTGATCAAGCAAAACAAAAAAAATTAAATTTAAATATATAATTAATAGTGTAAGACATTTTTTTTAAGAAAAAATTTAATACTATTACTTGTTATAATGTGATTACTGTATGCACGTCGAAAATAGAAATACAGTGATAACCCGCATAACATACGCCTCGCACAATGGACGATGCGCATAACGAACTTTTTTTTTGGTCTCGAACATTCCACACAACGAACTAAATCGTTGTCATTTGTAGTCAAAAAACATATGTTGCTCAAATTAATTTAAAGAATGGACCTTGAAAATTTTTGCTCCGCTGTGAAAATATACTTGTTGGAAAAAAACTATCAATAGTATCTTTAAAAATTCAGAAGTTAAAAAGGCACAAAAAGAAAAAAAAATCAGAAGCAGTACGACACTAATAATAACTTATTTCGTATATCAGTAATATTTTTCTAAATGTCTAGATGTAAATATATCGTATTTTCTATTACCACATTTCAAACTATAGAAAGAATTCATTTTATTTAAAAAAAAAACGGGTTTCGCATAGCAAACTTTTCGCACAACAAACTTTCTCCTGGTACGAATTAAGTACGTAATGCGGGGTATCACTAATTATTTCATTCAATGAATTTTCGTATTATGTGGATCCAATTGTTCCATTCTGACTTGGCATGCGCTAATAATATTAGAATATTAATATCTGAATAACATATATGTAAGTAAGTTTGTGTGTATATATATATATATATATATATATATATATATATAAACATGTGGCATAATAATATCCAGCTCTTAACAAAAAAAAACTTGTTAGCCAGTTCCTTTCTCTATATGCAGTATGATGGTGGTTTACTTTACCTAGTTAACTCATTATTATACGTTTAAAGCTTTACATTTTATTGTTTGTTCATTTTTTTATTTATTACGCACTGAAACAAACTAACATTGAAACATATGGCATAAATTAAATAAAATTTGTTTGAATACAATACAAGGATTGTTATTCTATTTCATATAACAGGTTACGAAACTAACTACCGTCAATTTATGGATATACATACATACATGTATACCATATATGTATATACATATGTATATATATATATATATATATATATATATATATATATATACATATGTACATGCATATGTTGTGTGTGCGAGTGTTTAATGATTAAGTACAATTTTTCCATATTATTATTAATGTTATTATTAATTACACAAACATGATAAAACATAAGTACAACTGTCCTTGGTTCGAAAAACCAATTACATCATGGCAACACTGCACGAAAGGGATATAAGCAACTAACGTCTTGCAAGATGTTTATCTGTAACACATCAATTCCTAAGTGAAACTAAGATCATATTTCAAATCTTAATTATTTAAATTAAAATAGCTCATTTATTTCTCCTATTGTTGAATATATAAAAATTATTGCTTTGGTGTTAGAAGTAGTTTAATTGCAATTTCAATAAGCAGGTTCATAAAGAATGGAAAAATGATTTCTAGATATATAATGCTTATAGCAATATACATATATAGGCATATGCAATGAAATATTATAGCACAAAAATGAAAATTAGAAAATGGGTTCATGGGGTTGAACCAACAATTCATGGGTTGGTCTGTAAAAGCTGACAAAAATATATTTAATTGTTACGATTACCACAATGTGACACCAATTAATATATACAATTGTTGATACTCTTTTTTACAGTATTTAACGATTTCAATCTTATAATTTTGTTCAGCTGATAAATGATTGATTGTTCAAATTTCATTTTACGACATGTAATCAAATATTTATAAAAATAATCAATGTCACTAACTGTCCTATATCATAAGATTTTGTCATAAGTCATCACAAAAAAAAATAAATTTATAAAATGTATAAATTAAATTGGAAGCATAATAATATGTGTATGACCACCAGGTAAATCTAAATATATAATAATATACCTGATTGATTCTTACCAATTTATCTTGCAGATAACTAGTTTCCATTAGCATTACGTGTATTATTTACATGTGACAATTTTGACTGTTCTTTTCCTGTTCCATATATTTTGCCTGCTTTCTTTGCCACTGAACCCAGCAACTCCTGTGAAGTTTTATGAGCAGTTCGCAAAGATAAAGCCCATTCCTTCAAACCAATTTCATCCTGTAATTATAGACAGTGGATTAGCACTATGAATAAATATATATGTAGCTATAAGTATAAAAGTACAGAAATAGCACGAGGGTGATATGAAAACTTTCCGACCTCAACACACTTTTCATGTATTGGGAAACTGGTTTTGTGCAATTTTATTTTGAAATTGAAACTGGTTTTGTAGGGAAACTTTTCAGACCACCTTCATATTTATAGAATTGTGATTTTGCTAATCCCCAAAACAACTGCTAACTCAAAAAATTACAATCTATTATCATTCCAAATTTACCAACAATTCGTTTTATTTTCACTCACCATATTACCTATACACATTATTTCTATTATCAAAAACTACAATAACACTCAAAAACATGATTAATTAATCTCATAGTAATTATTACCACAATCAAATAGTTGTGTAAAAAAATAATTTTTTAAAATTTAGCCTGAAAAATGGAATCAAGACCTCTAAAATTATTACGTTTGCTTAAAATGAAGTCTGTATAAATGGTACAAACTCTTCCAGGATGGAGAGATGCCGAAGGTTGATGAAGATATTGATATATACACATATATGTATATATACATATATATCTCTCAATAGTTTTTTCGACCTTGGAACACATTTGAAATAACTAGCAGTCCATTCATTGAATTAAAGAAATATTAAAATAAAAACATTCTCTATTAATTATATGTTTTGACACTTGATGCGTGCCATCATTTAGTAAATCAAACGAGGGCAAAAACACTAATAAACTTAACACTGAATAGTTATGAAAAAACATACATATTTAGGATCTTAAATAGAGAAAAGCAACATATAATAATTTAAACCAAAAACTTGAAGAGGAGATAATGCCTCATTGCAAAGAGATGCATAACTGTTGACCATCAAAAATGAAAACCATCATTTACATACATGCACACATATATATACATATATATATATATATATATATATATATATATATATAATACACATATGTGGAAACAATATAAACATACTGGATTCGTTAACACAAGTTTTCCTTCGCGTGTCCGCATAACAATGCATTGTTCATTTTTAATAGATACCAAATCCGGAGCTACTTCTTCTATTTGATCCATAAATATCAACTCCGGTTTCGTGCTCCCACTCTCAGAATGCATCTCTAATCTATTTCACAATAAATACATTAGTATAATTTTATGAATAATTGGCAGTTATGAGTTTAGCAAACTCAAAATACTGTAGCTTAAAAGATATAAATGAATGCATTTAATATTCTTGCAAGCACTTGTTGACCATAGCATAAAACTTCCAAATTATGCCTTCTATAAACTTAAAATAACTTTTAAGGGCATTTCAATGATTTTTGTTTCTTATTAGATATTCTTATATAGTAAATAACTATTCATATTTTTAGCAAATCATAACTAAATAATCTTACTCAACAATACTATAGCATAAAATACGTTAAACATTTTCGATGTATTTCGCTTGGATAGGAAATAATTTTTTACTTACCGATTTGGATACAGTTTCGCATACCGTGTTTGCCATGCGGAAGCAAAAGGCCCCCCTAATTTTTTAATAAAACCGTGAAGAATACAATCGGATTCTGTAATTAATTTAAAATCATTTGTCTTGTAAACCAATGCTTTCAAATGTTTAAATTGTACCTTTTTCATTCAGATCAAAACGTTGCTTCTGTTTAGCTTTACGTTTATTTTCCATTTTATCAGCTTCTTGATTAATACTTTCAAAGACAGTTTCAACAACTTCTGATTGCCATCGCTCAGAAATTACCAATGAAAAATTTTTATACAGGTCTTGATCAGCTTCAGTAAGCTATTATAGAATTAATATATTTAAATTAATTAGCATCAGTAAAATTTATGCACAAATATTAAAGTACTACGTCATTGGAGATAAATTAGTAAATCAAGAATTCTGTTCACACATCTATTTCTATTTACTAAAATAAATCTATCTTTTAAATGTTAACTCTATACAAACAACAAGTGTTGAGTGTTAAGCAAAAGTGGTCATAATTTATTACATCTAAATTCCACGTATAAATTGTTGCATGTAAAAGTGTCTATGTATTTAATTTCCTCAATAATATATCTATAATGTTAATTAACTATTTACCTTTATTCCTTTTGTGTCTTCCTCGTCAAAAGATCCAATATCGAATGCATCGGCTGCATTCACTTCGCCTCGTGGAGGTATTAATGGAGGAGTATATTTTTGCAAGTAAACTTGTTGCCAGTCAATGCCAGAAAAAAATGCATGCTCCTTTACTTCATCCGCCCTAAAGATAATATTATAATAGAAACGCATTTTCCTTACAAAATATAATCATGCTCTCCTGTGTATAAAATTACCCATTTCCTTTGCATCCGAGCCTTTTATCAATATCACGTTGAAGAAGGCTTTCCAGCAAACATCGTAATTCTTTGCTAAATGATTCCGGAAGCTCTACATTCTGCAATCAAACAAACTAATAAGGAATAACTGGAAATTAAAGCACAACAGCATACATAATTTGATTATAAAAATTAATTAAAATTTGTATTAATCGACTGCGCTTTTAGAGAAAATACTAAACGGCCTGGCCCATCTTTTTCAAAAACTAATCAGCATGATTTCCAAATGATTTCGAATTGTTTTCGAATTTTTGAATTCGGTTCAGATTTTTTTACTAAAACGTGAACGAAAATGTTGCACTTTTCTGCTAATTCTACAGAAACTGCTAAGCCGTGCCTATAGTTTCATCTAATGACTTAAATTTTTGAAAATGGTTCAGTCGTTTTTGAGAAAACGTCGATGAAAGTTCAATTTTGACTAACGTAAAAAATTCTGGTCATTTTTTCAAACATTGATAAATTTTAAAAAAATTACAGTTAAATACAGAAGAAACGACCCGGCCGATTTTTACCAAACATTCATCAGCACGATTCCCAACCAATATATTTCGAATAGTTTTTGAATTTTGAAAATCGATTCAGGATTGTGCGCTAAAATGTCCAGTAAAATATTTTCACGACAAACGACTCAACCGGTTGTCGCGCAAAAAGAATCAATTATCGAGTTAATGGATTCAGCCGTTTTTGAGAAAACGTCAACAAAAATTCAAAAATCGGCTACACACGCACGTGCTCTTTCCAAATTTGATCTCATACGATTCAGAATTCATCATCAATCGGATTTTCTCACGAAAACAAACATAAAATTGGAGAAGTTAAGAACATAACAGAATCATATTTTTTATTTAGACTGAAAAGGATATGGCCGATGTAGTATTACGCGCAAACTAGGTAAGATATAACAATGGATTATCTTACAATTAGATAATCATATTTATTTTTAGTGTACAATTTAGCTCATAGAAATTAATATTGTAAATGTAAGATTGCCGAGTAGATTCAGTTAAATCGCCATCAGTATATTTTCTACAGAACAGTTTTCAAAATAGAATAAAAACTAGTGGTGTATGCCATCGTGCCTTAAGGCAAATTGCACTTTGTGCAAATTGTGCAAATTGCACAATTGGGCGACGGCGTTATATATTTATTACAGTAAAGTAAATAATCAAAACTTAATCATTCGAATTTAAATGAAAGACATTGTCTAATATTTATAAGATTTATATAAACTGAATAGCAAAGTTAAAATTATGTATTTATCTAGAATTAAAATTAAAATCCAAATTATTTTCGATATCTAGAAAAAAATATGTTTCGAAATTAAAAAAAAAGTCTTTCTCCAAAAGCAATCGTTTTGTCAACACAAACATTTTAAATCGGATGCTCCATTCTCTCAAAAACTCGATTTCTATTTTCTGACTCTTTGCTCCGTATCTCCGAAACGGCTTGACCTGTCTTATCCAAAAAATTAATTTTGGACGATTACAATAACTCACCCTACGATAGGTAAGATAATAATCATAAAGTTGACAAAGTCATTGAACAATGTTCTTGTCATATTTGATCGTCAATTAAACAAGCTTGAGGGCGTACGAGATTTTTTAATCACTTCGGTACTAGCGGCAAGTTTACTTTAGGGCCGCCGATGACCCCACACAGCCGAGCGTCACCATTACGTGACGGACGGAATACGAACGCGCACGGCCGAGCGTCAATTACTCGTGACAGTATTTCCACGTGTCACCACAAGGTCTGTCTATGAACGAGGCAGCGTTCGGACGATGCGGAGTTGTGAGCGACGTTTGTGGACAATAGGCGCCCTACCAAAGTGATTATAAAATAAAAAATGCGCTGTACTAATTTTCTTTCTTAAGACATACCGTAAACTATTAAATATTAACAAATTAAACTTTGTTAAATTAGAAATTATGTTGTTTAAATTTTATTGTTTTAATATTGATCTTTTAAATATAAGACTAACATAAAATAAATGATAACTTACCATAGTTAATGTCATCCTGTCAATTTCGTGTTTGTCTTTCGTTTTGTGTTGTCGAAACGGCGAATGACCTTTCAAAAGCTTATACAGCATACAACCAAAGCTGAACCAATCTGCGCTTGAATCGTATGGCGTACCTTTAGATAACACTTCAGGTGCCATATAGCCATGTGTGCCGCTGTAATATCCAACAGTTAAATCAAACTTAAAAATATATGACTTAAAAAACTTAACAAAACAAAAATAGTACATACACGCTTGCGTGTGGCTTCTTTTTTGAAAAGTCGCAAGCAAGTCCTAAATCCGATATACGGACATGTCCATGCTCATCCAACAGGATATTTGCCGGTTTTAAATCTCGATATACAATGAATCTTCTATGCATATGCTCCAAGCCTAATTTTATACATATTATATTATATTAGTATATATATATATATATATATATATATATATATATATATATATATATATATATAGTGGTACCCCGACATACGAGTTTAATTCGTTCCGTAACTATTGCTAGTTTACCGAATCTCTAGTATCTCAAAGCAATATTTGGAGTATTAGTAGGTTTCATATATAACTATACAATTGTATAGTTAAGATAAGTCAGGTTATACCACTGTATATATAATACGCATATATAAAAAAAAATGAACTCATACCTAGTATTACTTCAGCGGCATAAAATTTCATTTCGGATTCACCGAAAACGCCGTGTTGTGATAAATGATAATGTAAATCTCCTCCATTCATTAAATCCAGTATAAAACACAATTTATCAGGTGTGTGAAATGCATATGTCATACAAACTATGAATGGACAATCAGCCTGCAAATTAATGAAGAGCACATTCTCATAAAGTTCAGACAAAAACGAGACTAATTTGTAAATTTATTTTAATATGAAGCATTAAGCATTATTTGATAAGAAAAGATAAGAAGTTAATCATTGATCAAAATTTAAATATATTATTTGGGATGCAGTTATATTGTTAAATATTTATTTATTTATTTATTTATTCAACGCCCAAGGCAATAATACAATATATGTAGTTACATTTTGAAGTGTACAAATTATAAACTAAAGAGATAATATGTGAGAAAATTAGAGTATTAAGAGTATTAGAGTATTAAGTAATAGAGTATTATATGTATATAATAAATATTGCTTACACCGGTGCTGACGAGTGACAACATAATCCGTTCATTTAAAGCTAAAGTTTCTCCTTGCTTCATTTTAATTCGCTTTTTGTCTAGACATTTCATCGCATACATTTTCCCTGTATCGGCTTTTCGACATCCATATACCTCTCCAAAGCCTCCTCGACCAATTATTCGGTGCACGCTGAAGTCGTTCATTGTAAGCTATAAGTAAATAAATTGAATTATTCCATTTGCTAAAATACGTGTTTACTAAAATATAATGCAATACTTAACTATTATAAAATATTTCTTAGATTAATTAGTTGAACTCTGTTATTAAAGCTTTTATTTGATCCAAACGGAATCCCTACAGCATCAATATATTTAAACTTTAAACAAAGCACAGGACAAGAGTCAACTAGGTAAATAACTTTCAATAGGTGCTTTATGATGCTTCAAATATACTATCGCAAATAAAAAAATCGAATAATAAAATGATTTAATATCTCTAATTGTCTAAAATTAAGACATACATAGCATTGTAATACACAAATGAACTAAGAAAAATTAACTTAGAACTAAGCCATGCACTCACGTAACAAACTCATTTTCTACTCACTTGTATATTTAATTCTAAATTTTTCCATTGGCAATACCTAGTATACTTATCACTGAAATACAAAATAAACTCATTATTAGAACATTAGACACTCATATTACATTATCATATAACAAATTAAACTAAATTATATATATATATATATATATATATATATATATATATATACAGTGGTGTTGTGCTAATATTTACCGAAACGCTAAAATTTAAAAAAATGGTTCCAAAACCGGTTCTCCTATTTGTTCCGGTTCCAATCGAAAAAAGAATCATTACAGAACCCATTTTGTACATATATATGTATATTCATCACAATAATAGTAACGTTTAATAAAAATTAGTTAAATTATAAATTATAAAAATCATTCATCAAATCGTTTTCTGTATGTAGCAATTTCTTTAATTTTTTTTTGCCGGAATACCTTCTTGCCGAAAAATTATTTGCCGGAACGACGATTCGGCGCGTTCCAGCTCGACAACACTACTGTATATATATATATATATATATATATATATATATATATATACACATATATATATGTGTGTGTGTGTTTAGAAAATAATCTTAAATAAGGAGGCGTCCATAAACCACGAGGTTTTTAGGGGAAAAATCACGAAATATCACGTGGCGGAGGGAGGAGTATAGTAAGATATCACGTGTATTTATTTTTACCTGAATTTTAAAAAAAAACAAAAATTTTCAAACACAATTAAAAAATTTTAATTTTTTTTTAGTCGTAACTAAAAATACAGGTGATGTTTGGTAGGGAAGGGAGAGGGGGTAAATTTTGGATATCACCACGTATCACCAAGGGGAGGGGGGAGCAAAAATCCTTAAAAAATCGATCACGAGATTAATGGACGCCCTCTAATTCTAATGATGAAGTAAAACGATGTACGTCTTCGAAATAAAAACCACATTGTTGCATCATTTTAGTAAATGAAAAATATGGTCCAAGTAATAACAGTAAGATGTGCTAGAATATGCCAATCGAAAAAATCTTACCTTTCTAAAAACTTAATAAAAGGTTCTCCTCGTAAATGATTGAATATTTCTTCTATGTAAGGCTGAAAAATGTATGAATGTTAAATTTTGCCGTTAATCTATAAACATTTTATGACCATTATCGTACCTCAAATAGAGTCACTGGAACTTCGTTTTTTATTAAATGCTTATGAACGTGTGATATTGTTGATTTTGAATAATGCTGAAAACAAATAATATTTAGTTAAAAATACTATAACAAATAACGATACATATAATACCAAATGAATTATTCTCAAGTTGCTACTTACATGCGAATGGGCAAGCATTTCTTTCATAATATAATTATCATATATTTCTTTTGAAAGTTTTCGCCTCTCGTCAGGGCATTCAGTCTTTTCATACTGTTTAATCTGTAATAACAATCCTAGGCATTCATAACTAAATGATACTCAGACGTGAAATATACGAAGTCATAGAGAATGGACCGAATACTTGAAACTTAAAAGTTGTTTATGTCAAGTAGAAAGAAAAAGCGACCAAAAACCTATTTTTCATTGGTTTATTCCGACAAAAACACACAAATCTTTGGCAAATTTTACTGCACTATTCGATTGGGAACGCTCAGTCCATTCTCTATGTCTGAGAAAAATAGTATATTACACATATAATCTATTATAGTCATATAGTAATATGCCAAATATCAATTTTAACCCGGTTTTAACGCATGATTCTAATGAAATTGAAATAACTTGTATTACAAATATCTACAAACGCTTCAGCAAAATGCATGTCAAAATTTCAAAATTTCAGTACTAAAGTTCTAACAATTTTTTTCTGTTGGCTGATTTATTTAATCCTAAACTTACATTTATTATTCTTTCTTCGTTGCGTCAGTGGTGTTGTGTTATTTTATTTCTCTTATTATTATATTATTTATTGATTGTGTCTCTCATGAAATTCTTTTAAACAAGCTCGATAAATACGGTGTACGTGGTATAGCTCTTGAATTATTTTCATCTTACTTATCAAATAGGACTCAATCTCTTTATCTTAATGATCGTGGTTCAGTAATTATCTCAGACAAACAAAATATTAAGCTCGGTGTCCCTCAGGGCTCAATTTTCGGACCGTTATTATTTCTCACCTACATAAACCACCTGCCAAAATGTACAGATCTCTGTAAATTTATTCTTTTTGCCGACGGCACTAGTGTGATTATAAAAAGCAATTCTTTAGAAGAAGTAAATAATAAATTAAATCTAGTTATGAAGTCAATTTCGAATTGGTTCAATTCTAATAATCTTCTGCTCAATAATGACAAAACCCAAATTATGTCTTTTCGAACTGTAAATAGGATAAGTCATGAGATCAATTCTTTAACTATCAATAGCATTCAATTTGAATTTTCCTCAGTCTCAAAATTTCTAGGCATCCAATTACAAAAAAACTTAAACTGGGACAATCATATTCATTCCATACTTGCACCTAAGTTAACTAAAACCTGTTTCATGTTGAGAATTCTTAAATCAAAAGTTAGTTTAAATTGCCTTCTTTCAATTTATTATTCTAATTTCTATTAGCATCTCGCTTATGGGATACAATTCTGGGGATTCTCTTCATCTTTAAAGGATATATTCAAAATACAGAAAAGAGCATTAAGAATAATTTTTTCCCTCAGTTCCTTGTCCTCATGTGGGAATCTTTTCCGACAATTTAACATTCTCACTGTTCCCTGTATATTTTTGCTAATTACGTTGTCATTCATAAAGAATAATCCTGAACGCTTCAACCTTTCCTCCATGTTGAATTCCTACTATAAAACAAGAAATTTGACTATAAAAGGACCAACTTTTAAACTTGAAACATCTTTTAATACTATAGACGGAAGAGGAGTACAGCTTTTTAATCTACTCCCACTACATATTAGGAAATTGAATGATCGTCAATTTCATAATACTATTGTTAAACTTTTAAAAGCTCAAAGTTTCTACGATACTTCTGAGTTTGCCAATTTCGATATCAAACGTTATTTTGATAATGAAATGCCTACTGATAATAATTGATACTGTTTTTTCAACAGTTACAATTTTTTCCCTTTTCAATACTTTTTTTAATTTTTATTCTAAATTATTTTAACATTTTTCTACTTTAAGTATTTTATCATTACAATTATTTTCATATTGTATATTTTTTTTTGATACTGCTCTTAATTTTTATTTTCCAGATATGAGACTCAAAAATTGCATAACGGATATTTAAAGGATTTTTTTTTACCATAAGAAAACTCTCAAGATCTTCAACAATTAAACTATTTGAATTTTATTACATTTTTTATTGTTATTGTATTAGATATTACTAATGTTAGGCTTAATATTGTTTAATAGTTGTATTTTACTGTAATTAATTCAATTACTAATTTAGCATGAATTCGCGAACTTTGTTTTCACATCCCCTTGCTATCACGCGCTAAGAACATTGCTTGGAAATATTATTTTGTTCCAGTGAGGAAACATTTGTTTCGCAAATTGTTTCCCTGAAAAAAGGAAAGTGATGTTGATAAATTATTTAGAATAAGAGAATATAAATATTTTACACTAAATACAGAAATATTTTTATGAATGCCACTAAAATATTATTTTACCGGAACGCGTATATAATGTAAGGGGTATGCACCCATTCGTAATTATAAATAATATATAAATCACTATAACGATCAGAATATGAACAACGCAGTTCGCAGCGAAATTTAGTCAAGCCTCAAACGTGAGCGATGAGGTTCTTTTGTAGAGCACAACGCAATATATTCTTAATCATCTATTGTAGAACATTGTGTTGCATTCTGCAATGATATTGAACAAGTCGTAAAATATTGTTATCCAGGAATTTAAAGTTACCCTGAAGCCAGCATATAAAAGGCTCGCAATGTCGCATTCGCCAGTCAGTCGGAATTTAGTTTTTAGTCGGAAGTATGAGTCTAATCGTCGTTCCAGTTCAATACTTTAATCATACTCAGTCTTCAGTCAGATCAGTTTCTCAGTTGTTGAAGTTATGTGTAAAGTGTACAAGGAATCATTGAATAAATAAATACGTCTTCGTCTGTTCAACTGATCAGCGTGAACAGATTGGTAACGGCTTTGTTTAGCAGCAGAAAGAACCTACATATTGTTAGCACCATCGCTATATGGACCGCAACGTTAGTCCATAACAATAATTATTTAATTAAATAGACAGTACTTCAAGTACTGTAAGTTCAAATTACGAATCATCCACATAAACTTATCCCTTGCGAAATTATTTTCAAGACATTGAAATTTTAATCAAAACGAATACTTTAATCGTTTCTTATTGACAATCCAAAAAAATATATTACTATATCACTCCTTTAAGTGTGTATGACTCTAGTTTAATTTATATCATTTATATTGAATCACTCATTTAAGTGTATTTGCTTCCTGGGTCATTTAACACTTAGATGTTTTCCATTTGTCGTTTGTATAAAAAATACGATTGCTTCGTTATACCACTTTCTGAGGTACTGGTTTGAGTTGGTATTATAAGGTTCGTCCTTTTCAAACAATCCCTCGCTATGAAAGCATTTTTGTTTAAAGTATCACTATGTATATGAGTAATCTGTGTTATGTAAATAAAATATATAAAAGTGCTTTATTTGTTTTTGAACAGAATGAAAAACTGTCTACACAAATATCCATTGATTTTGGATTCATGATGAAAAAAATTGAAACAATACTGAAAATGAATAAATAAATTGCAAAAACAAAATTATAACTTTATCTATATTCATGTTACCAAAATTATTTACTCTAAATTATATGAAACTATTTTCAATTTCCTTCATAAATATATAAAATCTTCCTTTATAAAAGTGTTAATGTCACATTGATAACCGCAAGCTCGTGCAAAATTATCGATATTTTCTTATGTTCAATTTATAAAATTATAAAATGAATTCATCTAGAAAATAAATTTATGAAAAACGGTAGTATCATAGTATGGCTATGATAAGCGGGAATCTAATTTATTTTGGCGATTTAATAGTGACAAATGTTGAAGAAAATATCAGTAAATTTAATATACCGGCATAATAATTTTGCATTCTGTATATTGAAGCATTTGTAGAACGTTTCGCAATATTCGACTTAGACCCTTTCATAACTATTCTAATTCAAAATTTATTTGATCAAACGTTTTAGATAAATTTAGTTTTTATCTTAGTTTATTTTAATTATGCCTGTATCAATGCAAAAAATATATTTCAATAACAGCACATTCTCAAAAATCATAAAAAGTTACAGTAAAACTGTTGATAATAAATAAATAATAATACTAATAAAATCAAATTCAAGCCCGAAAGACAAACGAGGGAAATAAAATTCATTTCGGTTGTTTCCACAAGTTGAAATTTAAACATCGTATTATTAGAAACAACCAATAGATTTTCATAGTTTAATACAAGAACTTTTTTCAGATGCTAATCACACTTTTTTTAAATAATTATGTAGAACTTAAAAATTTCAAAACGATTTGATAATGCGTTTTTGTAATTCTGTTCAATTCTTAAGTTTCTGATCTATAACAAATATACTAATTGGAGTATTAAATAAGTCGATTTTTACTGTCGATTACACAAACTATTCAAACAAAAATTCTAGTGTCAAATAAGTCCAAATTGACCGTATTATGCTATTACATACGTGTACGCATATGGAAAATTTCTGAAACATACCTCTTCATAAAATTTAAGCTGTGGTATTGGTTCTTCTGATGCATTTTCACAATAGTCTTTGAATAACTGATATCCTGCAAAAATAAGTTCATACAATTCATAATATAGTTTTGCATAGGTAAAAAAAGTCGCTATGGCACATATGATTTTCAGAAACTAGGAATCAAAATAAGATACTTTGCTGAAGAAACCATACCAGAAATGAATTCTGATGTCCCATGCACTGACCCAAAAATAAGGATTCGAATTTGAAAAGTTCCATTTTGATCCATTTAGAGTACCCCAATCGCAATCCAAATGTTTGACCCCCTGGGACCCCCCCCCCCCTGAGAGGTTTGGCTCAATGCACGGAACATCAGAATTTAATTTAGAGGTATGATTTCTTCAGCAAAGTTTCTTATTTTAATTCCTAGAATCCAAAAATCATATGTGCCTAAGTGACCTCTAAAAAGACCCTCCCTATATATATATATATATATATATATATATATATATATATATATATATATATATATTATATATTACAAAACTTACCTAATGTTTGATTAAATATTTTATCGAAGTTGACTTCATTCTTTTTCTCCAGGTATTTATGCATAACACTTCGCACACTGAAATAACTCAAAAGGTATTAGAAAAATATAATAACACTATATATTTATTAAAAAATAAAAAAATGTAATAAATCGTAAAAAAGAAGAAAAATAGCGTATATGAATACGTATTTACAAAGGGTTAGGTACAAACTAATTACGATTTGCAGAGATAAAAATACTTCATATTGTGCTTTTCATTTATATAGTAGCACAACTGAGAAATGGCATATTCAAAATACAACATTGCAAGGACGTTGGCCATAACAGACTTATTTAAAAAAAAAGTTTTTGAAGCTTCATAATATGCAAAGTGTAACAAAATTCTGGTTCGAATGCATTTCAATACAGTGGTACCCCCCTTACAAGCGACTCGCCATACAAACTTTTCGAGATACGAGCCGCCAAAGAAGCGGCTCGTGTGCTTCGTCATACGAGCAAAATTCGAGATACGAGTCGTCAAAGCAGCGAGAGGCGTAATGTAAACTTATGGAGGTGCGAATGAAATAGATTCATCTAATATCAATTGTATGTAATAACGATTTTCATATGCGACGTCGCATTTAACTACCATACAAATATTTAACCCTTTCGACTCGGATGCCGCCGCTCCGGCGGCATAGTCATTTTACCGTTGCGCTCGGATGCCGCCGCACCGGCGGCATGATATGTTTTACCGTTAAGCTCGGATGCCGCCGCTCCGGCGGCAAATCGTGTCGGCGACGACTCGTCGCAAACTAAACTTACATTTAATTTTTTTTTATTTTTTAAAAATTAATTTACTATTACATTCAATTATTGATTGATTTATTAATTTTATAAATAAATATATAACAAAATTAATTTATTAGCTCATGATACCCATAATTTTAATAAAGATCTGTGAAGAAATGATTTTTTAAACAATATAGCATGGTTTTGAGTGCATTTTTTTTAAATTTTCAAAATTTTCTATTTTATTATCATAATAACTATATTTAATAGCAATATAACCACATTTTGAAAAAATTCGATACAAAAAAAAATTCCGAGTTGAGAGATGAGTATAGCACTATAATATTCCGAGCGCAGCGTACCGACTGGCAGTCCGGCTCCCGAGTCGAAAGGGTTAAAGTAAATTATTTTAAAGTTATAAATTTCAATTCATTAATACTAATGTTGTGCACTTGTTTGTGAAATGTGGGACAAAGTTGAAAAGTTTGTGGATAAAAATCACGGCGAATTTTTTAACTCACGCTAAAGTATCTAACTCATTTTCGCAATACTATAATAAGTTGAAGTAAAAAATGATGCTCATTGGATAGTTTTGTAAACGCAAAAATTAGTATAATAATTTAGTCATTTTATTTAGTAATTTGCTATGTTTTTGCAGAATATGTATTTGATCTCACAATTAGCAATAAAGTTTCATTTATTTTTGTTATCAAAAACCTGTGCTGGAACGAATTAATAGCATTTCAATGTATTTATATGAAAAAATTGCTTCGAGATACGAGCAATATGACATGCGAGCGTGGTTACGGAACGAATTGAGCTCATAAGGCGGGGTACCACTGTTTATTATATTATCTTCTATTATTTTGAACACAAAAGAGCGATACGGGAATTTTCAGGCATGTTATTCTCTAAGGACGTAATACCATTAGTTTTAAAGATAAAACGAACATCCAACAGGTATGTGCGCGAATTATGAAAAACAACAAAGAAACTTAATTGTTCATGTTATGTAACATTCATCGTAGAAAATGCCCATAATAACCTTTTAAGATAAAAACATGATGAAAATAATTTATAAACGAGTATAATATGAAAAAGTATTGAAGAAAGAACTTGTATTTTCATAATATAAATTGGGCGCAGATATCAAATAATTGAGGTAAATTGCTGAAACTTTCCGTACCGAATTGAAATTTTTAAAATCCGAATTATTTTCGATATTCAAAAAAAAAATCTTTTTCTGAAAATTTAAAATTTTCTTTAAAAAAGCGTTTCGTCAACACAAGCATACAGTTTTTTCATTCATTCAAATCGGATGCTTTTTTCTCTCAAAAACTGCCATTTTTTGCACATTTAGCTCCTTAACTCCAAAACTGCTGGATTTATAATAAATTATAATAAATATGATCTAACAATTTTGATCCAATTAGTAATTACCACAGGGGTATTTACTAGTTAGATCTGCTTTTAGTTCATTTCAAATATGTAATGTTCTGAATAAATAAAATATATGTGTCATTTCACCTTAAAACAAGATGCAAAAACTTGCCGATGTGAGTAATTTATCAAATTTATCAATGAGAATTAATGTTTTCTTACGATAGAATAGATAAAATTATCATTTTGAATGCACTTAAATATCTTACTTTAATAATATAAATATTATATTTTGAACTTTGTAAACCAGTATTCGTATGAACTCTAAGGCCATAAATTTAATTAAAAACGCAAAACAATTGAGCATTTAATTACAAATAAACTTTTACTAACAAAAACTAATCAGTCAATTTTTCACACACAATCAATTTTTTATAATCGGTTCAGGATGTTTTAAGAAAACGTAGACAAAATAATTTTGCAATTTACTTCTGATTCTAAATAAACGAACGAATTAAAAAAAAGTTTAATACAAGTAATAAATTTTTTAAAGCACATTTGTAAACTATATAATGCAAACATTATTCTTTTCTTTATAACATTATAATTCACGTTGAGATAAAAGGTGAACAAGTGTTTTGCTTGATTCACCTTTTTAGGTATTACATGTGCAATGGAGAACAAGAATCCAAGTTCTCATAGATAGGTTAATTAATAATAGTTATCGGACGGGCTATGCCCGGAAGTTAATTATATTATTTCCTTTACTTATATAGTTATTAATTTCGACTATATTGCGCGGGGAGAGTTTCACGATAGCACCCACGATGACATCTGTGGCCGAAGTTGTCACGTTGAAAAATCTGAAAAATTCACCTTCGCTTTGTAAATAGAATATAGTCACGTTTCATTAATATTTTGATGCAGATTTCGTATAATACTCATTGTATATTTGACAATGTCCAAGTACATTTTTTGAGAAATTGTATCAATTCAAGAAAATCGCATAGTAAATAAAATGCATAAAAAACTGGGTGTAGGTGTAATTATGGCTTAAGGCAAGTTGCATAAGCTTGCCGATTTGTGTAAATAATTGACTGAAAAAAATTTAAAGTTAGCTATTCAGATAAAATTCGAACATATCGATATTGTTCGAACGATTTGTTTAAAATTTGTTCCGCATTTTTGGCTAAAATGTAGACGGCTTCGCAGTTTTCTGCTAATTCTAAAGAAACGGTTTGACTGTTTGTCTTTTAAAATTGGACAAACAAATTAAAAAAAAAATTTAAAAAAGTTTAATAAATGCAATATATTTTTAAAGCATATTTATAAAACTAAATATTAGGTTGTCAAATATCTCCCTTCCGCTTTTTGCTCTTGGTTTATAATACAAAAAGGCGGAAGGGAGATATTTGACAACCTTATAATATAAACTTTTTTTTCCTTTGTAATATTATAATACACATGGTGATATAAAATGAATAAGGGTATGTCGGAGATACTTTTGGAGGAATAGTTGAATACATAAGGTTTTGGACCAGACCCGAAAAAGTTAATAAATTCATTTTGTTACTTATATAGTGATTTATAGAGACTGCATTGCAAGGACAACACTGTATCATACAAATACAATATAACACTATAACATAAAAATTACACTATAAAGTAAAAATTCTTCAGCTAGTGTGCCAATGTTAGTGCTAAATTGTGTGCTTTGCTCACATCTCCTGATGTAAAACACAATAGCCATAGCACTGATGATGACATAAAATTTTAAGTCAAAACATATAGAATATTTAACACCCGAATAACGCTAAATCTAATGACATGTATGTCGAACTGCGTACATATTTATCATATTTTGAAACTTGCTCAATTTTAAAAAGCATTTGGAGGTTATAAACCTACTCCCACACCACACTATACAGAGAAACGCGCTAAGAATTTCGCCTAAAAACTTTTTACCCTCGTACACTCATACGTGATTTGTCATCGCAATTTTACGAGTGTTCCCGAAATCGTCGACAAAAATTTGTATCCGCACACACACACATACATCCATTTTTTCTAAGGTATGCCAAAAAAAATTTTTTTTAAATTATTTTTGAACAGCAATCAAAACCTAATAGTTCTATAAGCTGTTGTGCTGATTTTGACGTAATACTAGTCTGTTTGACAGATGGCAACCCAATCAGTTGTCACATCTCTGTTTGATATATTATTATTACAATTTCTGTAATAGGGCGAATATTTTTAATGGTGCAACAATGCCGCAGGATGAGAGCTATTTTCACTTGGAAACATATTGTTATCTATATTTCCAAGTGAAAATCGTTGTCAATGTTGCCTGACAGCAGGCTGCTCAAAGTAGGTATCGAACCCGGGACCTCTGAAACAAGTCCCGTCGCTCTTAACAGCTTACCTACTGCCGAGCCCGGTATGCCAAAATGTTCAGAAACCTTTAAAACGTAAAGATATATAAAAATTTTCATTTTCGTTTTCAAAAGTTCAAAATTTCCAAAATATTTCAAAATAAAAAAAACATTTTTTTTCCAAAAATTCAAAATTTCTCAAAAATCTAATTTTTTCAAAGTTTAAAAAAAAATTCTTTTTTAAAAATTTAATTTTTGGTACGGGAAGTTCCAGCAATTTGCATTAAGGCACGATGCCTACACCACTAGTTTCTTTACCTAATTAGGTTTGAGAAATATGCCCCATTAAAATTATTTAAATAATAACATTTTAAATGCTATTATGGCTGAAGGAGACAAGTAAATAGATTTTACATAATGAAGCAAAAATTTCAAATACAGAAAAAGAATAAAACAAACCAGAAAAAGCAAACAGATTTGTGATTTGATTAAACATAAACTATTCACAATCACCATTAGAATTGCAACTGTGAATGAACCAAATAAAAAAAA